GAGAGAGAGAATCGGGTTAGGCCAGGCGCGGTTCACCTTCGCGCAGGTGAGACGCGCGATTGGTCGATCCCTCCGCTTCGAAAGGGGTGGGGAGCGCTAGCTACCCCTCGCTACACTCGCCAGTTATCCTCACAATCGCGAGGATAAACGCGGCGTTAACACCTCGTCTCCAAGATTTTTTTGAAAAGTGATATAACATATCCTCCTCGAGCGAGGAAAGGAGAAACGGTTGTGGGGGCCGCCATGAGGGAGGATGAGCAGTAGCGGGGGCAAGAAGGCGTCTGGCGGGAAGGAGGAGAGGAGGAATGCCTCGAGCAAGGAGGAGAGCCCGGTGGCGAAGGGGGACGAGGGGTCGGGCGGAGGAGCGAGCAGCACGGACGGGGCCCAGCCGGGGAGCAAGCCTGGATCGGCGGGGGCGAGCAGCAGGGAGGCCGTGCAGAAGCTGGTCGGGCTGGCGGGGCGCGGGGAATGGGCGCCGGTGGACCAGCTGCTCAAATCTCTGGAGAAGGCGGCGCAGAGCGTCGGGGGGGAGGATGGAGGGCCCCTTCTGCCCCTGGCCAGCGTCATGGACCCGGTCAGTCCATCTCTTCCTTATTCCTAATTTCTCGAGCTCTTCTCAATTCCTCGCTTTTTTCCCAGGCAACGGGGATGACGCCGCTGATGCACGCGGTGAAGGACAATCGGACCGGTTGCTCGACCGAATGATCGAGTTGGGGGCGGACGTAGGCGCCAGAATAACGCAAGTGCACCTTAGATTACAACAAGCGCGCGTGTAAAATTCGCGCGTGACTCGCGTTGAACTGACTCGTTTCTTTTTCTAACGCGGCTCTTCTCATCGATAAGAATAGAATTACGTAAATGAATAAATCATTGATCAATAAGGATTTCGGGTAAATCGTTGAAATAATTCTTAACTTGTATTCGTATTGATACGATAGCATTGAATCCGGACAGAAATTAATTAAGATTTGTTTAATTTATACACGTTTTAAATATTCGTATTCATAAGATTTCTAATCAATAAAATAATTGCGAAATTAAAAGGGGAAATCCATCCTTTTAGGCCATCTATCGACGGTATATATACGCGTTGCGTGGCGGGGACGCGTAAACGTTGTTGCGAGCCGTTGTTGTTGTGCGCGGGATATATTTACGCGGGATCGAGTTAACGATCTTCTCGAGTTACCAGTCTCTCTCCTCGGTTGAAGGGGAGGAGAGAGAGGAGGGGGGGGAGGAGGAGGAGGTAAGATCGCGTGAAGAAGAAGGGCCAAGGCCAAGGGATTTTCCGGGCAACTAGGCCGGCCGAGCCAGGGACGAAAAAAAAAAAATATATAGCATAGCTCGATTCCAAGAGGCGATTACACACCGAGTTTTTTCAGATTTTTATCGCTGCAAGGCTTGCCTCGTTTCTTTCTCACTTTCTCGCGGCGCGCTCGCACGTGCCGAGAAACGGCGGTTTTCTTCCCCCCTCCTCCTTCCCCCTCCCACTTTTTTTTGCGATCGTTAAACGTAATTGGCGCGCTTGGGGAATTTTGTACGGAAAGAAAAAAAAAAAATTGGACGCGCCCCGCTCATTAACTCCACCGTGTAATGGATAATCGAGGTTTCTTCTTCGATGCCCCACCCACCCCATTTTCGAATCGTTGGACGATAAGGCATTCGTTTTGCTGTTGGGCGCGGCGAAACTCGATTTATAACCGGTTACACGTTATACGCGCCACTTGACCTCGTAATACGTTCGAATTTTCGTTTTCTTTTCTTCCCGGGCAGGACAATTACAATGCTCTTCACATCGCGGCCATGTACTCGAGGGAGGACGTGGTTAAACTGCTCTTGTCAAAACGGAGCGTCGATCCTCACGCGACCGGAGGGGTATGAGCTTTCTCTCGTTTCTCTCACTTTCTTTCTCTTTCTAGAATCACGAAAAGAGGATGTTATTTCTCTGTAATTTGTAAATACGATGTAGCCGAGGCAACAAACTGCCGTACACTTGGTCGCGTCCAGACAAACGGGTACCGCTACCTCCATTTTGAGAGCATTGCTGGCCGCCGCCGGGCGGGACATCAGGCTGAAAGTCGATGGGGTGAGTAGTTTTCATTCTAGCCACGATACGAGGCTCGTGACGGCGGTATTCCCCCCCCTCGAAAGCGGGAAAAAACTATTTTTCAACTGGATATATTTGTTTATCGAGATGTAATTTTTTTTTAGGATTGTTTATGAATAAGTTGTTAGAGATAAATAGGGGATAAATAGAAAATTGTTCAACGAGGTGCTTTCGAAAAGATCGAACGTCAAATATGATTTCGTTCTCGCGATACGACCGAATCATCGTCGTAATTTCTTGATAGACATTTTTGGCATTTAAAAATAAGTTTTTAAAAATGTATGTATGAAGAAAACTATGAATATCGCTGCGCTATTATATTGTTATATTTGTTATATTATTATTGTTTTACTAATGTTCTATAACGATTAAATTAGCTTTCAAAAATTTAGATAAAACTGGCGATTAGCTAATGTAACGATTAGCGAGTTTTTCGTTCACGCGCCTTGCCCGACTCGAAAATGTATTTATTTAAGAACAAGATTCATCTTTGAACGATTTTCATATCCTCGAGTAACTCTTAATTCATCATCTCTATCAGTGAGAGTATAGATTTTTAAAATTTAAAAACTCGCAGGCCGCGAGCCACTTCATTTTCTATGCTTTGAAAAAACTAAAATTTTTTCCTGATATTTAAAGTAGCTCGAAGAGCGATAAATTTTAAAAGTTTATCGTTTGAAAAAAATTAACATATCGAACACGTAATATTTTTATACAAATATTTCGATCGATCATTTTGAAATTGATAATGTAACAAAGTATCGATAATAGTCAAAAATTACCGTAATTACCTCGGTAATTAGATAATAGCAGCTTTTTTTTTTCTATCTCAAACCTATCGCTTTATTATTACGACACGAGAAAGATTACTGAAAACTCGATTAAAACTCCTTTTTAAAATTAAGATTGAAAATAAAAAATATTAAATAACGTATAATTCCAAAAATAATATTAAAATGAAATTTTCCACGATACAAATACAAACCTAATACTTAATACTCGATCAAAAATTAAAAGAAATCAAAAAAAATGGCAAGATCGTAAATAATAGTTTCAGCAATTTCAGGAGATCGACTACTTTAAAGCCACGTAATTATGTTAATAATTAAAAAATAAAATAAAAAAAAATCATACCGTATCGTGGATCAAATGTTCAATTAATTATCTATATAAAAATTTTTTTCAGTTTGAAAGTATTTATGAAAAGGATTTTTTTTTTCCGCTTTTGAGAGGCAAATATCCCACTGTGTGACGTTCGTATGTATCAGGCCACGAATTCATCGAATTAACAGTTTTTCCTGCGCGATTTCTATCGCGCATCCCTCTCGATTCTCGTCTCTCGCGTGACGCGAACGATGGCCCAACGACCATCGCTGCCTGGTACCGAACAGCTGTCATAATTCTCTTTCTTTCTTTCTTTCTTTCTTTCTTTCTTTCTTTCTTCCTTTTCCGCACACCACCAGCTTCCTAATCTTCCTTTCTTCCTTCCTCCTTAGTCTCGTAAACGAGCAGAGATTATGGCGATTCCGAGACAATTCTCGCTCGACGTACATACACACGTACACGTGGCTATTTATGGAAATCGAATTCGTTTCTCTGCCTCTCTCTCCTCCCATTGGTTGAAAATCGATTCCATCATCTATCAACCTATCAACTGTCTCTCTTCCCCGATTCGACAACCACCGCTAAAAAAGAATTGGGCGCGAACTGCGCGTGAATTGCAGAAAGGAAAAATACCGTTGCTGTTGGCGGTGGAAGCTGGGAACCAATCGATGTGCAGGGAATTGTTGGCCCAGCAGGCGCCCGATCAGCTACGCGCTACCACCACGACCGGCGATTCGGCGCTCCATCTCGCGGCCAGAAGACGAGACATCGATATGGTGCGGATATTGGTGGATTACGGGGGAACGGTGGACATGCAAAACGTAAGAGAAGATGGCGCTTCGGACGGGATACGAATGAAAAAGTGGTAACTGTTTTCGCAGGGCGACGGACAGACAGCGTTGCACATAGCGAGCGCGGAGGGCGATGAGACTCTCGTCAAGTATTTTTACGGCGTAAGAGCGTCGGCATCCATCACCGATCATCAAGATCGCACACCCATGCATCTGGCGGCGGAGAACGGGCACGCTTCCATCATCGAGCTGCTTGCCGACAAATTCAAGGCGAGCATATTCGAAAGAACGAAGGACGGCTCGACGTTGATGCACATAGCCTCGTTGAACGGGCACTCGGAATGCGCGACGATGCTGTTCAAGAAGGCGTTACTTGCACATGCCGAATAAGCGCGGGGCCAGGTCGATTCACACAGCCGCCAAGTACGGCCACGTCGGGATCATAAGCACTCTTCTGCAACGAGGGGAGAAGGTATTTCGTATGAAAAATTACCACCATCCATCGACTCGACCGTTATTATCGTTCCGATCTGCGTGTACAGGTGGACGCGACCACCAACGACAATTACACCGCGCTGCACATAGCCGTGGAGAACGCGAAACCCGCTGTGGTGGAGACGTTGTTGGGTTACGGGGCTGAGGTTCACGTTCGAGGTGGAAAACTTCGAGAAACGCCTCTCCACATAGCGGCGAGAGTGTCGGACGGTGACAGATGCGCGCTCATGTTGCTGAAATCCGGCGCAGGGCCGAATTTGACCACAGACGACGGTCAAACGCCCGTGCACGTGGCGGCCAGCCACGGGAACCTGGCCACTTTGTTGTTGCTTTTGGAGGACGGAGGGGATCCTATGTACAAGTCGAAGGTAAGGCTCTTCTCTCTTTTCCTTTTTTCTTAACTGAACGGCTCCTCGAGTCTTGCAGAACGGGGAAACGCCGTTGCATCTGGCCTGCAGAGGGTGCAAGGCGGACGTGGTCCGGCACTTGATCCGATTCGTGAAGGAAAGGAGGGGCGCGGAAACAGCGACCTCCTACGTAAACAGTCTGACGAACGAAGGTGCGAGCGGCCTGCACTACGCGGCGCAGATCGAGCCGTCCGAGGTCGGGACGCCCGGGGACGACAGAGCGGTTATTCGCGCTCTCCTCGAAGGCGGGGCGGACGTTTCGTTGCAGACAAAACAGGCCCAGGAGTCGGCGTTCCATCACTGCGCGTTGGCCGGGAACAACGAGATCCTGTCCGAGATGATAAGCGGGATGTCGGCGACCGAGGTGCAGAAGGCGTTGAACCGTCAAAGCGCGGTCGGGTGGACACCGTTGCTGATCGCCGCTCACCGCGGCCACATGGAGCTGGTCGCCACGCTGCTCGCCAACCACGCGAGAGTGGACGTGTTCGACCTCGAGGGGAGATCCGCCCTTCACCTGGCAGCCGAGCACGGCTATCTTCAAGTGTGCGACGCGTTGCTCGCGAACAAAGCGTTCATAAACTCCAAGTCGAGGGTCGGGAGAACGGCGTTGCACCTGGCCGCGATGAACGGCTACTCGCATCTCGTCAAATTTCTCGTCCAGGATTACGGGGCCGCGATAGACGTTCTCACGCTGAGGAAGCAGACCCCCCTCCACTTGGCGGCCGGGGCAGGCCAGTTGGAGGTGTGCAAGCTCCTGCTCGAGCTCGGTGCGAGCATAGACGCGACCGACGACCAGGGCCAGAAACCGATTCACGCGGCGGCGATGAACAATTACGCGGAGGTTGCCCAGCTGTTCCTTCAAAGGCATCCGAGCCTGGTGATGGCGTGCACCAAAGATGGCAACACCTGCGCCCATATAGCGGCGATGCAGGGCAGCGTGCGGGTGATCGAGGAACTGATGAAATTCGACCGCCAGGGCGTCATCTCGGCGAGGAACAAGTTGACCGAAGCGACACCTCTTCAGTTGGCGGCCGAGGGGGGACACGCCGAGGTGGTGAGGGCGCTGGTGAGGGCAGGCGCATCCTGCGCAGACGAGAATCGGGCAGGATTCACCGCTGTTCACTTGGCCGCCCAACACGGGCACGGCCAGGTATTGGAAGTGATGAGATCGTCTCAGTCCCTTCGTATATCCAGCAAGAAGCTCGGCGTTACCGCTCTGCACGTAGCCGCTTACTTTGGCCAGGCTGGTAAGCTCTCTAGTCTAGTCCTTCGAATCTTCCTTCTTCCTCTTCTTCTTTTTTCTCTCTCCCCCCGCCCAGATACCGTGCGAGAATTGCTGACCCACGTGCCTGGAACGGTGAAATCCGATCCTCCGACCGGTGGCTCTCTGGTGGGAGAATTGGGAAGCGAATCTGGGATGACGCCTCTGCACTTGGCCGCTTATTCGGGAAACGAGAACGTCGTACGATTGCTCTTGAACTCGGCCGGTGTGCAGGTGAGAATGAGAAAAAATTAATCGGTGAAAAGAAGGATGAGCAGGAAGAGAATGAAACGCGTGAAATCTGTGTTCGTCTGTGTGCGGCGAAGGTGGAGGCGGCGACCACGGAAAACGGTTTTAATCCATTGCACTTGGCCTGTTTCGGCGGTCACATCACGGTGGTCGGCCTTCTGTTGAGCAGATCGGCCGAATTGTTGCACAGCTCGGACCGTTACGGTAAAACCGGCCTTCACATAGCGGCGACGCACGGCCACTATCAAATGGTGGAAGTGCTTCTCGGCCAGGGAGCGGAAATAAACGCGACCGATAAAAATGGATGGACGCCGTTGCATTGCGCGGCGCGGGCCGGTTATCTCGACGTTGTCAAATTGCTGGTGGAGAGCGGGGCGTCGCCCAAGAGCGAGACCAATCTCGGAAGCGCGCCGATATGGTTCGCCGCGTCGGAGGGCCACAACGACGTGCTCAAGTATCTCATGGAAAAGGAGCACGATACTTACGCCTTGATGGAGGATAAAAGAGTGAGCAAATTTTTTTATTTAAAGCTTCTTCCTTTGGCTGATTTTGAGGCACAATATTTATTTACGTTTAATTTTAATTTAAAATATCGCTTCACGAATAGATTCCTAAGCTCTTTATAATATAATCTTAATAAAGTGTAGAATAGTATACCGTCGAATGGTTAGATTTTATTTTATCTTAAATTACGTTAGTCCAAGTTGTTTGACTAGGAATCACTGGGAATAGAAATATTATTTTCAAAATTTTTGTAAACACCGATTTTTCCTTATTAAATTAATATTCCTATTTATCGAGAAATTTACGATAGAGAGAAGGAAAGCAGTGATAATAAAAATAGGAACGTAGTATAAGAAGATGAAAAAGAAGAATAGTGAGAGCACGTTATTGGACCAATCCAGGATCTTGATAATCGCTTTGTTATTAAAACACAACGATATAAACGATATCAACGTTCAAATAAATTTTCTCTCTTTGTATGTGAAGATACGTAAAATATTAAAATACAAAATATTTTATACGTTAATTTGTGCGCGAACAGGCGTTGATTCGAAAAGAAAAGGGTTAAAAATTCTCGCAATTGGCGAAATTTCGAAACGAGGGAGCGAGCAACGATCGAGCCAGTAATAATTTTGACAAACTTTAGACAAGACGCGATTGGGCACGCGATTCTCCGATCGATTCCAAAGGCGTCCCCTTCTTTCAGTTCGTCTACAACATGATGGTGTGCAGTAAGAACAACAACAACAAACCGATCGAGGAATTCGTGCTTGTATCCCCGGCGCCGGTGGACACGGCCGCCAAGCTTTCCAACATCTACGTGAAATTGTCGGAGAAGGAGAAGGAGAGGGCGAAAGACTTGATAGCGGCGGGCAAGCAGTGCGAAACGATGGCCACGGAATTGCTCGCTTTAGCCGCTGGGGCCGACTCGGCTGGAAGGATTCTCACCTCGATGGATCGCAGGAACGTGGAGTTTTTGGACGTGTTGATCGAAAACGAGCAGAAGGAGGTGATCGCGCACACGGTTGTGCAACGGTATCTCCAAGAGTTGTGGCAGGGCAGTTTGAACTGGAACGCGTTCAGGACGATCCTTCTGTTCGTCGCGTTCCTCGTCTGCCCCCCCGTCTGGGTGGTGTTCGCCCTCCCTCTCGGTCACAAATACAACAACGTCCCGATCATAAAGTTCATGTCTTACCTAACCTCCCACATATACCTGATGGTGTTCCTTTTGCTGGTCGGCATAATCCCTATATACCCGGTGGTAAGGCCGAGCCTGTTACCCTATTGGTACGAATGGTGCCTGCTCGTCATGCTGTCCGGGCTATTGCTCTTCGAGCTGACCAACCCGAGCGACAAGAGTGGACTAGGCTGGATCAAGCTTGCCGTGCTGCTGTTTGGAATTTGCGGGGTCGCGTTCCATCTAATGTGTTTCGTGATCGTTCACCGACCCTACTGGCCGACCCTGCTCTACCTAAGAAATCAACTATTCGCCCTGAGCTTTTTGCTCGCCTGTGTGCAGATTCTCGATTTCCTCTCGTTCCACCATCTGTTCGGCCCGTGGGCAATCATCATTGGTAACCTGATGAAGGATCTGGCGAGATTTCTCGCCGTCCTGGCCATCTTCGTGTTCGGTTTCTCCATGCACTTTGTTGCATTGAACCAAGCGTTTGGGAACCAGTCGGATGGCGGAGGGCGGATGGACGACAAAAAGAGAAAAGGCGTCTTCAGCGACGGTAAGTTCGACGCACGTGATCAGCCGTGATCTCTCTTTTCTTTCTTTTTTTTTCCCCCCCTTTTTTTCTTCTTTTTTCTTTTTTTTTTTTTTCTTTTTTAGTTAAGTATTTATTATT